CAAATTTAATACTTTTTTAGGTAAAATGTTCAGCTCGTTCAGCTTCATTATTTTAGTTAAATGACATATTGGAATATATAGGAGCTGTGGAGATCTGTATAGAAATGATCAAAAATAACTCAAATTTGACGTAATTTAACAATCTGTGTGTGAAATTCATTCACATTTTTCGTACACGTTTTGATACGGCTGACGCCACCTTTATGGCGCATTAAGTCGTAACTCGTGATACTTCGCTGCTTGATTTACGCGATACGGCGGTACCGTTTTTATTAATTCACAGGGTAAAGTACGCTGTCTCGGCAGTGCGATTTAGTAAAGGAGACGACGCGTTATTTCGCAGTAACGTGAAATCTCTACAGCGCGACGCGTCGGGATAAAAGCAGCGACGGAGGTGGGTGCCGAGACGTGCCGTTGCTCTCGCGAGGGAAACTTCGAAATTTATTAACTTGTAAGGTACGTTCTTGCACCGGGCAACACAGCCACCCAGAACTCAATAAAATGTACTTTCGTTACTTTCACGCAGTCTCTTTTTCCTCCCTGTTCTCCACGCCGTTCCGGCGTACGCTCGTTTATTTGTTGGCCGCACGATAAAACTTCTCTCTCCTTCGTCTCTATCTCTTTCTTTCGTTCTTTTCCGTTTCTTCTCGTTCTGGCGCATCTCTCTCTTTTCTTCTCTCTCTCTATCCCGGGATCTTTTCATTTAAACTGTTCGCCGGTCGTAAGAAATAATGCTGGAAAAAGTTCCCGCTTACTCGACTCAGTTACGAGATACCCTTTTTAACGATCGCACTTAACCGCGCCTTTTGACGCTGACGTACGACGTACACAATATTCGCGATTGCAACGGGAATTAAGTCCGATATAAAAATCCAGTCCCTTTGGTGGCTGATTGGCGGGACGTACGTAGATACATCGTATACATTTCTTCGCGCTTTATATCGTCCGAGTTACGAGAATCTCGTATCTCTCCTGGCGAAAAATAAAAATCGGAGTGTATATAAGTCGTATGTAAGGGAAGAGCGACAGAAGCGTAAACGAAGCTTCTAGGAGGTGAAAATTGAGACAGCGAAATGTAAAAGAGGTGTTTACGCTGCTTTTACGTTTCGTTGTCTCAATTCTCGCCTCCTAGAAGTTTCATTTACGTTTCTGTTAATCTCTTCGATTTATGCTCTGATTTTTATTTTCGCCATGAAAAGAATCATTTTGTTGAAGTATTTAAAAATTGTATTGTATACACACAGATTTGAAAATCATTTTGTTGGATCATCAAAATTATTGAAAATCATTGAAAATTAAAAAATAATGTCAAATACGATCCGATAGAGAACGTCAACATGGTCAAAGTTAGATGCTTCGAATAATACAATATATATTTTTTATTAAATCAATTTATTTCAGATACACCCAGAGAAAAGTTTCTTCGATTTAAAGAAATGTTTCTTTGCTATACGGTTAAAAAAAAATTTCTTTGATTTGTGAACGTCGTTTCTTTGATTTGAACATAATTTCTTTAAATCAAATAAATTTTATTTGATTTTAAAAAATAATGTTTAAAAGGAAATAATGTTTATAAATCAAAGAAACTTTTTCTTTGATTTATGCGCCGATAATTTTTCGAACTTTTGACACATTCTGAAACGCTAATAATCCTCCCTAAATTAAATTAGAAAAATTATAAAGAACTCATTGCGAAAAATATTATCTCAGCTAGGGTTCATAAAAAATAATGATCAATGCTGCAAAAAGTTTTGACATATTCTAGCAACCCCAGTCCTACATTAATTATTTTAATTAAGTTTAATTTAGTTCAACAATATTATTTTTATATCTGTATGTTGCTAAATTTTTAGATACTTTAGCAAAATTATTCTTATCAAGCAGGGTCCTCTTTTTTCCTTTTGCGAATCTCATGAAGCAAGAAAAATTCGGTCGCATCAGCGATGTGTAACAAACGCCGTATAAGATCAGCATAAATGTATATACTTTCTTAAATTTTTTGGAGTGAAATCTCACTCTAGAAAATGAAAATTGAACCAATATTGAAAAAAGAGCTCAATTTTCAATTTTTAAGAGTGAGATTTTATTCTTTAGAGTAAGATTCACTCTAAAAGCTTTAGAGAATACTTTAGATGTTCTAGATGCGCAATCACCCATGCCTAAGATTACGTAAGTCTGCATCGACGTGGGGGTCGGCAGCAGAGATTTGATGAGCGTCGCTTTTCGAATTGTGCGCTCGCTCAACGTCGGCGACAGAAACCGACCGTAATAATGGTAGCGCGTATAATACGCTTTTCGCGATTCCGTAAAGTATGATCAGTATGTACAATGGCGAACGGCGGCACGTTCTATGGTCAACTATAAAAGACATCTGTTCGCTTTTAGAGTCTCCTTTATACCGGGATACGGTGACGTCACTCTTCGCACTGAGATAAAACGAAATGGACGCCCACTCCGCTACCGCGAGTCGCGTAACACCTTGTGTACTCTTCTTTGTACCCCTTCTCTCCCCCGTTTTCCGCCGTCCACCCCTTCTGTTTTTCGTGTGGAACCATCGAATTCTCAACGAGCCACATTGACTGACGCGGGTGTTATACGATGGGACTTTAACGAGTGTTCGTCTAATCGTCGTGAACCGCATTTCGAGGAAAGTCTCACGCGAGACTGCTTTTGGCACGGTTATTGCCATGAACGTCATTGTCGTTCGTAAATCATTTACCGCGCTCGTTTCGACGCGTCCGTAGCAACTAGGTGCAATAGTAGTCAAGAAGACGATTCGATCGAATCTATTTCTAGGTAAAAATCGATATTTTTTACTTATCTACAATTGCTTCTTCTTTTGCGACATTCGTTTATAGCAAAAGATTTATCAGAATTATAGTATTTTGAATAACGTGTAGTCTCTAAAATTCTGCAACGTTTGATTTCTTTGAGACTCAGTTTTTATCTTTCACTATCCATTGCTTGTTTTCGCAACATTTTCTCATAGCAAAAGAATTATATTCATTTTAAATCATGCATATTCTTTATAATTTTATAAACTATTTTTTCTTTAATACTGAATTTTTATCTTGTTTTCATTAAATGTTACATTTAATTGATACTTTAATGATATCACTTCATTAAGTGTTATTAATTTTAACTCTTTAATTTCATTAAATCTCTCTTGATTATTACATAGTTTTAACTTTGTTGTACTGATCTTGCATTATTGTGTCTTAATTACCTTTGGAATTTTAGGTAGACTGTGGTGTAGGTTGAAGTTGTGGTAAAAGTAAAGCTGTGGTAAAAGTTAGTTAAGTTTACGTCTCAAGCTCATTTGTTACTTGATTATAATCTACACTCGTCTGTTTGTGTCTGCTGTTGGCGATCGAATCTCTTATTATTTTTCGCTTCTTATTTAAAACTTTCTTATTTAAAACTTTATGAATCCGTGACCTTTTCTTCATGAAGCGTACTTTGACATTTGATTTCTCTCGAAACGTTTTAAACTTTTAAAGGGATAATATTATCTCGCCAAATGATTGATGCAGCCTTTCCGGTAGACTTACTTTAAACGTCTAATGATAAAGCTTGATGAACGTACACAATATTTTTTTATTATCTCGATGCATTCATTACTGTGACTTCTGAATTTTGATAAATAGATATAATTTACTGGATTTACTTGGATTTGTTATCTCATATTTTTCTTTTCCTTAACTCTTTGAAGACTGGAACTTTCTAACAAAATAACTTATAGAAGATCTTGTTTTCTAAGAGTTTTCGGAATCGCTAATTCGATTCTGGCCTTAGAATTTTTTAATTCAAATTTCAAAGAAATAATCAGAGTATATATAATCGTGTAACTTGATTTTAGAAAGTTCTTGGTTTAATATTACTTTGTAATAAAAAATCTTCAGAAATTGATTTTTATGATATATGTGTGTGTAATGAAATAATTTTTTTTTTAATTTCTCTGTCCCTTATATAATCGTGTAACTTGATTTTAGAAAGTTCTTGGTTTAATATTACTTTGTAATAAAAAATCTCCAGAAATTGATTTTTATGATATATGTGTGTGTAATAAAATAATTTTTTTTTTTTAATTTCTCTGTCCCTCATATTGAAGCTATCATTGCACCATTTCGAATTTTTATTTTTTACCTCAGATTCGAATAAAGCGTTAATCAGATTATCCCATAGATTAATAGCGAATTCAATTGGACGCACTCAGCGTACGATTGTGCACATTACAGCTGTCGTACATAAAATAACGTAAAGATATGTTTGTAAATAAACATAGAAATCGATTAAATCGTGAAATACTTAATACATTTTATTGTACTATTAAGTAAAATATGTATTTCATAATTCGAAATATTTGCATTTCATTTTTATACTCAAATTAAATCAATATATAAGTATAACAATTTTATTATGCACCAGTGCGCACTAATGTTTCCAATCGAATTCGCCATAAGTTTCATACAAATCGAGCGATCAATTTACAAAATAAAAGGGGATGATCCCAAATGGAATCGCCAGAATCCACAAAGAGTTAATCAGTTCATTTGTTATCCAACTCTGTTTTTTATTTTTGCAAGCTAACAGGTACATGCATGTAAGTGTATACGAATGAGACTTTCGCGAATTTTTGTTATTGGACTTTACTTGGAATACTATACAGTCAGAATAGCGACGATATCGCCACACACAACAGATGTTTTTAATGACAAAAAATAGATAATTACAAATGACAGTGGTTCGCGAGGTTGGGCCAATCTCGAAGAATGGTTTGCGATCTCGTAATGACGCGTTGCGAGATTTCGTAAGGCGGCGTTAACGCCTTCCACCGAGGAATCGATCTAGCCAGCCTAGTCTTAGGTTGGCACGATGCCAGCACGGGCATCCCGACGCTTCCCGAGATGGTGGACCGAGTCCGACCGAAGGCAAGCGTCCCGGCGTCGGCGTCGGCATCGGCGTCGGCACGTCGGACGTCCGTCAGTGCGCGTGTGACATGGCTGCGAAGCGCTACGACGGCGACCTAAACGACGCCCTCCACCTCGCGATGTGAACACACCCGCCCGCGACACCCTCGTCTGCGATCCTTGCGCGACTCCTCGCAGCGGTATATCGATACCCAAAGCCAATGAGGAGATGAGTCACAGTGATCGAGCTACACAAAAGACTACAGTCTCGATAATGCAAGCGATCGTCGTGTGATTGATATCGATACGTCAGAAAACAGGAAGAGGAAATCAGTTTATAGGGATCATTTATAGGGAGATTCCCTTATCATTCTTTTACGTTATCGTTATCATCGGTGCCACACTATATTTTCTTATCGGTGATTGCGAAAGTTTGTAATTGTTTGGAGATTATTCATGTAAATAGGAATAAAAGACGATCTCATCCACGTGACGAAAAATCAGGACGAACGTTGTCTCGCAGATTTCTTTTGAGACTCGATCACTCGAATCGATTATCATGTTGGGTCTCTGATCGAGCTGTTACGACAACACGGTGATCGCGGTGTCGGGATATCGAAATGTGTGGACAGGAATAGGCGAAACGATGTAAGAGAAAAGTGCGAGGTGACCCGAATCCGTACAAAATGGCAAATCGAAAGGGTTGATCCTCAGCAAGTGCGATCTTGTCTCGCGCGTATGAAGCACAACGTACCATTCCCACAGACAGACGAAGCTGCATTCCCTCTAATCTCGATCGCGACGAAAACAGTGGCCGAACTGTTTTCGAAAAATTGTATATAAATGCACGCACAGAAAGCGTGCGTCGTCGGCGCATATCTATTCCTAATCGAACGTTAATCACTTTAATTAATAAGATTCGCCACATTTAGTGCTGCCTCTCGTTCTCATCTCGTGGCGCCAGAGTGTGAACTATAAACTGTTACGCAGACAGTCGAACTCTCTTGAAATGCTTATATCAATATACATCGCCAAAGCTTTGAGTGCCTCAAATTATATTCATTCAAATTTCCTCGACGATGAGGCTTTGAGCGGAAACGTGGACGATCGAGGATAATCCTCGGAGTCGCGATCGATGATCGATGGTTAACTCGGATATTGCATGTAATACAGCTGCGGGCTGCACGTCAAGACAATTTCCTCTCATGTCTAACTAGGATAATAATTCGTCGCGTTGCCCCCCGCGCAGAGAGAGAGAGAGAGAGAGAGAGAGAGAGAGGGAGGGAGAGAGAAAGGAGGGAGAAAGAGTGCATGTGAATGTGCGCGCTCGTGCGTGTCTATGCGCGAAGTGCATAAAGCGACGATGGGATATCGGTGAGATCACGAGGTCACCGCAGAATGCCTGAGCCGAGGGCAAAGCGCTGTAAACACTGTGACGGTACGGTACGCGTGGCTAGCTGGACTGCAACACGTCATGATGAGTGGTTACCTCGCTGACCCTTAACACACCTCGATCGCTTGCGACTAACATCTGTGTCGACTAATAAAGAGTGTTACGTTTGAGCCGAGATTGCGTTTCAATCCCATTAACCTCCTACCACTATTGTGTTCGTGTAAGAATTACAGAACGTCGCTTCGTCACGCCGAGTTTTACGCGAAGTCGTCGAGTATGTAAGTCAAGCGGCCAAGTTACTTGCCGAATGTATCTGAGGCAACATTCCGCTTGACTTGCTTCTTTGCGCGACTTTGTCATTAACTCTCCATAACTGATGGTGGATTTATTGGACCCACTCAAATGTCCATCTTTTCATAAACATTTCAAATAATTAAATTTTTTTATGTCTGCTAATTTATTCTTATTAAAATAACTCAATATTCCTTCTTTTTTGTATAAGTTATATAATTTTGCCTTTTTGGCTTCTTGAAATTAATTAGTGCCTTTTAATAAACATAGTTGAATGGGTCTTACAGATCCGGGATCAGTGATTGTATTATATATTTGAACATCGATTCTAGAGAATTAAATGTCGTATCACATCTGTACTGAAAGCAATATGTTGATGAAAATTTTTTTAATTGAAATGAGAGAAACGTACATAGTTAAATTTATAATGAGAATTACATCGAGAAGTCATGTATCTAATTTGAGTTATTTTTAATCATTTTTATAGGCCGCCACTTCTACTTAATATGTCATTAATTTTACTAAAACAATAAAGTTAAACAATTAAAGAAAAATATATTAAATACTATTTACTTTAAAACTAATCAATTGAACCACAGAAATTAGACATAATTATCTTTTTAACCACATGTTTTGTATTAAAATAATTCACACACACTTGAAAATTAAAAATAACAAATGTTATTTAAGGAATTTATTTAAATTTGATCCTTTTAGTGTTTAATATTTAACAGTGTAATAAAACTGAGAAATAGAAAATTCTAATAGGCAAATTACGATAGTACCATTTAATTTGCTAATCGTTTATCATGTAATTGTTAGCAAACAACTAGACTTAACTCTTCATGTTAAAAGTCAATGGAACTAAAGTGAAATTTTTCACAAACGCAAAGAATACCAATTGGGATAGTACTATTTTATTTGTGGGTCATTTATTCCACGACTGCGACCGGACATTTGGACCAGGCTTGAGGCAGACCGAGACGAATGAATGCGCGAAGCGCATTCCGGATCGGACGGCGACCACGTCCAACTGCACTCCTTCCCCTCTACTCATCTCGTTCTCTTCCTCGGGCTTTTTCTCTTCATCCCTCTGTCCTCATCTTGTCCTTTTTTTCCTCGTCACCTCTTGCACTCCATTCTGTCAGTATTTTTACCCACGGTTATTCACCCTCTTATTTGTAGACGCTTGACGGTTATCCACCTGTACTGTAACCATCGGTTTTTACACCAATCGCGCCTGATTTTATCGCGCAGTCTTCTGAAAGTTCTGAATATTATGCGGAATTTATACGCGAATGATCTAGAAGAGCTTTTAGGATAACGGCTTTATTTAAACATCGGATTTAAAATCAAGATCTTAGTGCCGAATTGGTGGTTTATTTGAATTTCTTTTGCGATTAAATCTCCCCTGTAAACACCGAATCCTACAAGTATGCTAACGATCACTAAGATTCCCGGTATTGACCTACTTACTTTCCTCAACGGTTTTACATCGAGAACGCGTTCGCTTTCTTTACTGCTGCATCTGTTGATAGTTTAATAAATACCGTCGCAAAATACAGCCAGACATTTGCCATAAGTGTCATAGTTTAAAATGCATATCGTTCTTTAACTAGGGAAGGAACTGTCGTTTCCAAGGAACAAACTTCATGGATGACAAATGAACCGTATTTCCGTGGACTCTTCGAAGAGCTAATTATATACACATGTAGGATGTACGCTAAATCGATTTTCTCGATAGTCAGAAATCTATGTCAGAAAGCTTTCATGCAGCCAAACACTATGATATATGATGTTGAAAAGCCGAGAATTTCTTTTCACTCTTATAGGGAAACTTATTCTTCTAATTAAGTGTCGATTTTTTTTAATTAGCTATATTAATTATGGAATTTTGTAAATGGATCAACTCTGTCACGTGTAAAAATTACATCTAATCTAACCTATAGATTTTTTTAAAGTTGAATTTCAGATATTTTGTGAAGGTCTTTCTTTTATTTGATAATTCTAATTTCTATTAATGAGTTTTCTATAATAAGCTATTACCTAAGCTTTAAGTTTTAAGCCGTAAGACCAGTCACAGTCGAATATGAGAAGAATAATCAACTATGATTGGTCCATTTTTTACGGTTTAAGATTTAAAGCTTAGGTAGGTAACGGCTTATTGTAGAAAACCTATAAAATTCTTGCACGTTTCTGCAAACTTATTTAACTTTCGTCTTGTATGTGCTTGTCAAAAATTTTACGTCGACATTCCATGAACATAAAACAAACGAATCGGCTCGTTTCACGAATATAGAAACGATGATGTGATCTTGCTGAAAAAGTTGAAGGTTACATGCTTTAGCTTTGTCTCATACCGAGAGCGCGTAATATATCGTTCATTTACATCCACCTTTTCTCGTATTTAAAAGAGAAACGTTAATCGAGTGACAACGAAATTCTATTCTCGTTTCATCGGATACTTTTTTTTTTATTTTCTTGTCTTTTGATATCGCGCGGTTACGTAACATGTGACTTATTTTTACGTTTTTTTTTTTGTGATGGTCACCGAATTCGCGGTCAATAAGTATAAAACCGTCGGTTCTCGTGGGCGTTGACAATCGCATGGATCGCGGGATGAATCGCCCGAGTCGGACGATCGATAAATCTTGATCTAAATTTATCTTCCTCGCGGGAACATGTTGCTCGTAATCCACGTTGCTTTTTTCGATTTATGGCCAGCGCCTTCCAGCTACAGCTTTACAGCTTCGCGCTATTGCGTAAACACACATTATCGTACGCTATTTTGTAAATTCATGGCAATTATTCAGCCACTATAGTGATCTTTGTAGCGTTCTCGAGGGTTTTGTCTTGACTAAAAATCTTATAACAGCCTGGCCACGAGAGAGTTCGTCAAAATCATACGAGAGAAAAATGTATACCTATTATCTCGTTCTAAGGGACTGCGCAAAATAAAAGGAATGGTGAATATGGAACAGAGAAAAAAGAACAAGAAACAGGAAATAGGGAAAAGAATAGAAGAACAGAGAAATATCGTTAAGGAACAGAACTATTCTGCGTTAACATTATGTTTGATATTGAATTCTCTATTCCGTTTCCTGTTCCCTATTCCTTTTATTCTGCTGCTCAGTTCCTAACTTTACTGTCTCACTTTACACATAAAATGTAATAATATACATTTATGTATATACAATGTAAACATTCTATGAATCACCGAATCCATTTTCTTCGTCATGAACTTATAAAGTTCCTATCTTATTTATATATTTTTATTTATCAACATTAAAGTTATCTAATTTATAGTAATTTTAATATTTTACATGGCTCGTATTATCTACATGAAAAAAATTCGTGTAAAAATTCGTGTTTACGTAAAAATTTCATGTAAACGTAATCTTGAAATATACATACTGTATACCTACTCTGCTCTAAAGGTCATCGATATTTTGGTTGTGAATTTTGGTAGATAAATTTAAATTTGTAAAAATAAGTAAAATACAACACTTTTATGATGATAAAAATTCGTTGTTAAAGCTTTGACAAGTATACTAGAATTTTTTAGATTTTTATACAATCCAGAAAAATTTTTTTCTATCTTTTTTCAAAAATCTCTGTTGCTGACGAGAGTTAAAAGAGATGAAAATTCCTGTTGTCGACGAAAGATTAATTAAGATTAAAGAATGAGACAATTAATATACACAGATAAACAGATATACATATTTTTTTCTTTCATAGGATTTTGACAAAATTGCTCGTGGCCAGACTCTGTTATAGGATCTCTAGTCTGGACATGTCTGACTTTGTAGTTTAATTTTTGGACGGCGTGCCGGCGTAAGTCTAACGCCTATTTCACTACGGCATAAAAATGATTCGTAGATACGCGAATGGCTCATAAACATCAGGTCGAGCAGCTGTCGATTGAAAAACATCGGCTATATTTAAGCCTTATTGCGTTAGGCATCCTATGGCCAGTCTTGACAATAGATCGAACACAAATTCATTCCGCTCGGTGCTTATACGGGATGTGTGTGTATAATCGGAACACAGATGTGATTAATCGTTTCCTAAATCCGACGCTCCAACCCAGCCAGCGAAGCAGTCAATAGCAGAGCTAGGAAAGAATGCCGCGTCCAAATATTATGAAAGTAGGTCTAAGAATTTCGGGACATTGACGGCCGGCGCTGCCGCCCACAGCATAGATTTAAATGGCTTTTAAAGAGCAACTCTTTTAAGCGACTTCGGATTTACTGTGTAAACATTATAAATCTAGGCTAACCTAGGCGAGTGCGAAATTACAAACGTGCGCTAACAGGTGGATCGTGCATCAATTTTATCCACTTCCCATCATTATCATCGCCGCCAGTCGTTTCTGTCGCAATTGTCACAGTTTTTGTGGACAAAAGTCGTAGATCTCGTCCAGCGTGGCCGACCTTCGCAGGATTCGCGATGGATTGGTTCGCGGGATGAGAATTTGGCATTACGTCGTCGCGGCTCTGGACGACTCTTACGATTATTTATCGGCACGGTATGCGCGAAACGTGGGCGATGGTCCCCTCGCTGCTCCACCTCTTTTCCGTTTTCTGGCCGGACTCCAAACGGCAGCGACACTCTCACACCTATGGATTTATTTCTCGTACGACGGTCGGGTTATACGTGCTAACGCGTCTACCATACTGACGCCTCTGAGTGGAAGTCTTACGTGCGAACGCCTACGCGTGCACGCGCTGTTACAGGCTTACGCATTACGTCGT